AAATAGCACCTCATCTCATCGTTAATTTTAATCTCTACACTTCCTTGACTCACAATAGATTGAATCCATTTACACAAAAAACCTTCATTCTTAGGGTTTGCTGTAAAAAGGACCAATTTACCTTATCACGGGCTTTCTCAGAAAGAGAGAGTTAGAGTATCTCCAAGAGTTTGTTAAATTTTACTTGGCAAATCTTGTGATTTGCCAACTCCCAAAATTATATGCCAAGTAAAAAAACAATCAATCTCCAAGAGTTTGGCATTTTTGACTTGGTAAAATAAAAAAACTCGTTAACAAAACGAAGAGCCCCGCTAAGCGAACGAAGAGCCCCGCTAAACGAACGAAGAGCCCCGCTAAGAAACGAAGAGCCCCGGATGCCAAAAGATCTGTGCCACAGATATTTATTGTGCATGAGGGAAGATTTGCCAAGTTGCTATTGATGCCAACTTGTTTTGCCAAACTGTTGGAGGCTATTTTTTCTTGTTTTGCCAAAATTATATGAATGCCAAGTTGAAATAGTAAACTCTTGGAGATGCTCTTATTTCCTTGGCCTTAAAAAAAGTTTGGCTTTTACTTTCTTGGCCCTTTTATTTTTGAACTTACCAATTTTGCCCAAATGCTATCATTAGTTCATTGTATGGCCCTTCCGTTAGTTTTGGGACATACCGGTGTTAAGTCAAGCATAAAATGATGATTTTGCCCTTGAGTAAAAAATAACAGAGGCGGGTTGATCCACTAGATCCGCGTGGATCCAGCTTGCGGGGGATGGTGAGCTCCTCATCTCTTCTCTCCTTCCTCTCCTCTATGCTCGCCCTCACTTGGTTGATTCATGGCGCCCTCACTTGGTTGCTCCTCGTCTCTGTAATCAGTAACTATCACTAACTTTCTTTCAGATACTAAAATTGCGTTAGAAAGTTGCTTGATTTGACACCGACATGTTAACAGAACTACTGATGCACTTGTAGTACAGTTCATAACCTCCAACTTTATAATCATTTGCGAAGTTGGAGTCTCTTTGGCTGCAACGGCTTGAGTCCTATGAAAAGACGACACTTTACTGTTGTATGTGCTGCAGCTTCAATGCGCATAAATAGTACTGATTCATCTATTGTCTAGAGCATAATCGTACTGGTCATAGGTAACTGGTGCAAAAATTTTGTCATTGCTCACACAAATCGTCATTGCAATTTTGCTGGACGTCTTGATGACTCGTTCCTTTGGTACCTGTAGTCCTCTATGAAGTGCAACCAGGCAGTAAAATTAGTAAGTTGAGAACATTGCTATAAGTAGTCTATAAAAGTCAAAGTATAAGGAACCCCTGAAGCTAGAAGCTTACATGGGCACTCAGCAAAGCCACAAAAATACTCGGCAAACGGTTTACCGAGTGTAACACTCGGCAAACACCACTCGGCGTAGGTTTTAACGGCAAAGAGCTGTTTGCCGAGTGTCAATCGTCGGGCACTCGGCAAACCGAGTGCCACAAAAACACTCGGCAAACATTTTTTGAAAAAAATAAAAAAAAACAATCACCCTGCTCCGCCGGCCGCCACCACCGCCCATGCCACTGCCTCCACCACCGCCCATGCCGCCGCCGACACCACCACAAAGCCACCACGCCGCCACGGGGAAGGAGGGGCCACCGGGCACGCCGCCGGGGAAGGAGGGGCCACGCCGTCGGAGAAGGAGGGGCCACGCCCCCGGGGAAGGAGGATCCCCGCCGCCACGCCACCGGGGAAGGAGGGGCCGCCACGCCGCCGAGGAAGGAGGGGCCGTCGGGCGCCGGATCCCCGCTGCCACGCCGCCGGGGAAGGAGGGGGCGCCGGATCCGGGGAGGGGGCACCGGATGAGGGGGGCCGGGAGCGGAGGGGAGGGGCGGCGGCCGGAGGGGAAGAGGCCGGCCGGGAGAGGAGGGGAGGGAGGCGGCGCCGGCGTGAGGAGGGGAGGGAGGCGGCACCGGCGGGAGGAGAGGGGGCGCGCTGGGGTTCGGGAGAGAGAGGGGGCATTGGGGGCCGGGAGGAGAGGGGGCGCTGGGGTTAAGTACGATATTTTTTTGTTTGCCGAGTGTCCTAGATCGGGGCACTCGGCAAAGTTTTTTTTTATTTTTTTCTTCTCCTTTTTTTGACAAGTGTTATAGATCTGAGCACTCGGCAAAGTTTTTTTTTTCATTTTTTTTCTTCTCCTTCTTTTTCAGAAAAAGATTTTATTTATTTGCCGAGTGTTTTTTTAACACTCGGCAAAGCACCTCTTTGCCGAGTGTTTTTTTTACACTCGGCAAACCCCCTATTTGCTAAGTGTTTTTTTTTGCCGAGTGTTTTTAGCGCAGCACTCGGCAAAGAACTTGTTCGTCGAGTGCCCGAGGAAATACACTCGACAAACAAAAAAACACTCGACAAATTTGAGGATTCCGGTAGTGATGCCTGCAATATGTAATAGCCCAATTTTATCGAAATGATCTATATGCTTCTAGTATGTAGTGCTGAGCTGATCTATCTAGTTAAACTGAAACTCTTATATCTTGCTGAATATCAAGTTCAAATGATCATTTTCTGCTACAGTGATGGTGATTGTCTTGCATAGCTGTTTTCAGTAAACTTATTGTAAGAGTAGCTGCAGAAATATTTTGACAATGTTTATATCATTGATGGTCTAATGCTGAAATGCTTGTTGCTAAATTTAACTAAATTTTATCTATTTATTTTGGATCTTGAACATTGTGCTTGGTAAATCATCACTTTTTTCCACTGAAATGTTAGGATTTTGCCAAACTGACCCCAAACTTAATGAAGAGCTTATGTACTAAATTTAGCTTATAGATCATGATTTAGTTTCTAATAGTTATCTGCACCTGTCATTTGTACATGTATGCATATTGCAACTTGTTCAATTGTATTATGTGCGTTCAAAACTAGTCTTGGTTTGATTTAAACTGTATGATGTGGTGCTAGTCACCACTAATTTAGTACAATATAAAAAGAGCTTTAAACCTGACTACTTATGTTGGTCTGTTGTGCCTCTGGCCTGTTGTGATTGGCTGCCTGTATTTAGAATTTTGTATCATGTTACACACTCAATAGATTTCTTTGCTGTGCAGAAAATAATTCTTTTCTCATGCATTCTATCCTTATCTAATAACATTTATTTGTATTTTCAAATCTAAATCGTCTTGCTGTGTATTTTTGCTGTTAAGATTTGCTGTAGCTCTATTCTGTGCATTGGTGCTGCTATAAATTTGGATCAGCTTGGGATCTTAAGCACTGACGTTCTTTCTCTTTTTCAATTCTTCTGAAGTATCAGCATGGGAGCCAATCCATCCAGAACAGCAGGGTAAGCTGGCTGCTTTCTTTTTGTGCTATTAACAGATGCAAAAAGCAAATTAAATAGTGAGGGTCTATTACTACGTGCATGTGGTTCTGCAAACTTGTTGATAGTTGACTTGGCAATATTAGACAACTCTATTGTTTAACAAATATACTAATATGGCTGGTTGGAATCTACTAATATGGTTGTTCAGTATATAATATTTTGATGTCCTTATCCTTTTTTTCAAATCAACACATGGTTATGTTCTCAGCTCTCATGGATCGTGTTAAGTGAAACTGAGAAAAAACAACTACAACTTTTTTTTCCTGGAATGCATAGCTAAGTCAATGGATAAATTGATTAGTATTGTGCTGAATACTAATTTATTTCTAAGTGCTTTGCTTAGTGTCCAGTGTTCACTCTTAATTACTAGTTCTAACTTTTAAGTGCTCACTGTCTTGTAATGCTTTCTATAAGTGCTCACTGGATTGTGCCCAATGCTTTCTATTCAGTTCTATAATTGTTACTGATATCTGCCAATGTGCTTACTACGTACACTGTGTTTATGCAGTAGTGAATGTTTTGCCCTTTTGTTTTTATATAGGTTGATTCTTATAAAATGCTTGAGAATTTGAGTATGTGACTAAAATATCTGAAATGATGAAATTAATTGTAGGGGCCAGTATGTGGCCTTCTACGTCCAATTGAATCTTGGAGGTGTTCTACTGCAGGTGGTTTTATTCTTTGAACAGCAAGTGCATTGTCATATTTGCCCAGTAATTATAATTGTAGTTGCGCTATGTTTATAATTGCTCCACCACATCCCACGATTGATCTACTGATGTTTTTGGTAGTTGGCAAAGTAATGTTTTTGACAATATAATTGCTCTAGTACATCTTAGAATTTTTTTGATGTTTCTGTTGATGTTCCCTTCAAATTACTACAGAAAGTTAACGTACCAGAAGATTTTCTTGTGGCCATTCAAGTACTCAATGCAGACTAGTATTATAGCTATTGTTGTGCATGTTCTAGTGTTTCCTTCTACTGATTTTGTTGGCAATGCCTTCCAGAACTGTACAGGAACTGTGGTTACTTTATGGTTTTGTGCAATGGTGGGCTTAACCAAATGCGAGCTGCAGTAAGCAATTGGGAAAACCTTATTTGTATTGATTGAGCAGCCGGTAAAATATAGACTGTGGATATTTGATGGCTGTAATGATACTGACTCTGGTGTTGTAGATATTTGATGGATGTAATGATCTGAACTTGATGTGCAACTGTAATGTTTCTGATATTGTAATGTACTTGATGTTGGTGGATATCTGTAATTATATATGTTGAAAACTGTCAAAACAGAGAAAAGTAGGGGCTTCCTCCTACTTTTGAGGACCGGAGTAGGGGCCATGGTGGAGTGAGTTTTTTTTTTTTTGTCCCTTGGCACTTAAAAGTAGGATGAGGGCTCAAGTAATGGCCCTACTCAAGTTGCTCTTAGAATTGAGTTTTGGGCATGAACTATTGTAATAAGTGGTCGAATCTGAGTCTTGGATAGAAGAGATAAAACCGGTTTATTTTTATTAATTATGTAATAAAACGGTCTAAGAAGTAGGAGCCGAACAATGCTATGATGTAATCCAACATGTTCTCCTAGGTTCACAAGATAGATGAACTGAGCATCTAGCAAGTGAGGTCACTCCCCGGGTCAATGCCGAAATGGTGGCAGTACTCTATGTAGAATTGCACGCGGTCTTTCATTTCGGCTGTGTCCTTTCCGCCGTGGCGATGGCCCGTCGAACCCCTGGGGCATGATGGCCCTGCCCAGTGATGGCCGACTGGAACGCCAAACCCTGGGGCACCCTGTCCGCTGGTGCATGTTTTCCATCCAGTACCAGAGCGCCGACTTGAACGACAACACGGGGTCCTGGGCCACCCTGTCCGGGTCCCGCAGCCCGTCGAAGCCGAGGCTCCTCCCCGCCGGCCCGTAATTGTAGTTCCACGACAGCTGAAGCGGGCCACGCCCATAGTACCCCTGCGCCGGGTAGCACGGCCACTGCTTCTCACTCTTCCAGTCGCAGTATTTCGCCACGTCGATCTCGTTGATGTAGCATAAATCTGTTGTCATGGACGCACATACATGCAAACACAGACACTCTCATGCATCCAGAGACTAGTAGGCGGCCGGATATATACGAAAAGAGTGCAGCCAGCAAACAAGCGTTTAGATGCCTCAGGAATCCACAACTTACGCCCGGTCTCGTGCGTGACATGCGCGAAGAAGGCGGCAATCTCGCGCTTGCGCTCGACCTCCGAGCCGCCATGCGCGAAGCCCGGGTACGCGGCGACGGCCTTGAGGAACGCGCTTCGCGTGTAGAAGCCTATGCCCTCGCACCAGCTCCCGCCATGGGACTTGATGCCGTTGAAGGACTCGGTGACGACGCTCGCCATGGACGCGCTGCGGCCTCCTCCTGAGCCCCAGCACGGGCCCGACTTGCACCCCTCCGCAGTAGGCGCTGGTCTTGCCGCAGTAACCGAACTTGCTGCAGCAAAAGCCTGGCAGGCAGCCACAGTCCTGTGCGGCCGTGGGCCTGCCGGCGCAGATCAGGAATGCTAGCCCGATAGCCAAGACCACCGTCGGGATCATGGCAGGCGGCGTTGGTGAGTTCGCCATATGGGCAGACCCTTTCAGCTGTATGCTGTCAGCTGTGGTTATTCCTCGACAGTGCAATGGCATGCTTAAGGACGAAGACGGTCGAACTCGGTCGAAAAACTTCTCAACCGTTTTCTACTTTTACATTTAAAATACGAAAGCGAATGTGAAAGCGGACAAGCCGGACACGAAAACGAACACGAACTTATGGAATATCTAGAATTTCGGAAACGAACCAATTCGAGCGGAATTATGTCGAACACGGTCGGTATGCAAAAATTCAATACGAAATACCGACCCACAGTGCATAGCATTAAACAAGTACACGACCAAATACATAACAAGTTCACAACTAACAAGTGCATGATCTAGCTCAAGTGCATAGCATTAAACAAGTGCACGATCAAATACATAATAAGAGAGATGAGGTTGGGCGCCGTCTATAAGAGAGGGCAGCTAGCCACCAGTAGAAAGAACGCAGTTGCGTGGTGAACAGCCTGTAATTGGGCTATATGACCTGTGCAGTTGGCTAAATTCGGTTTAAACCGAATTTTGAATTCGGAATATTTCAAATTAAAAGTAGAAAAGTAGAAAACGGTCGAAAAATGTGTAAACCGTTTTCTACTTTTACATTTGAAATACGAAACATCTCAAATGCGAAAGCGAAAACGGTAAAGTCGGACAAGAAAATACGAATTCGATCGGATTAAATATAGAAAACGATGCGGTTCGATTCGGGATATTTCCGTTCCGTTTTCATCCTCAGCCATGCTGATGGCCTTTATATAGATAGCTAGAGACCGATGCAATCAAGGCGTGCGTCTTCTTGATGTATGGCATGATGCGACTTACCTCCAAACAATCATATTTTATTGTACTTGTAGTGTAGCTTGAACTTCGAGCATGTCAGTCAACACATACCTCCTCGCGGAAAGAACTAAACACGTACCTGCAAGTAGCCGCGAGACATATACTGCATTTGGATCGCGCCCCCGTGTAGGGCTAGATTAAATTGGCGCCAAATTCGCATCGTCCTTTTCCATTGCCTACATGCCTACATTATTCCTTCTTACAATCCTACTAATCAACGTTAGCTTGTAAAATTCTATTTGCAGTAAATTAATTTTCTCATTATTTTCTATCCACTAGGTTTATTCTCATGGAATGGACCACCCGTTAATCTGTCCACGAGTTTGTTTTCGAGTTAAAACCACCATCTTCTTCCATGACATCCTCCAACCACACCATTGAAACTAGTCATCATGCATGACCGACCTCTATCCAACAACAGCCACCAGCCGCCATCAACATGATCTCCATGTCTGGACACATCATTATCTATTGCAGCCCATTGAAAGATTCAAGCCACCTGCTCGAATTTTTCAACTCTAACGATTGAGTCGTCGATCGCTGCAGTGCTCTACATTGTGCCATGTCCTTTCCCGGACACACCCGTGCATTGCACGGTGTGCGGCATATCTATCTCACCTTCATGCAATGTTCTTTAATTTTATGACTCTGGCTCAGGTACCACTTTGTTAGAGTGCATGGTTAATCTAAGATCCAAACACGGATACTAACCAAAGAACACAAAAATATAAACACCATAGGAGAAAATATACAAGTGAGAATGACAAAGACACGAAGTTTTTTAATGAGGTTCAGTGATGTGTCTACAACCCTGTTCGTTTCGCTGAAAAGCCAAGCTAAAAAGTATTGTTCGCTGATTTATTGTGAGAGAAAAATATTGTACCATGACTGATAATCCTCAAGACATTACCACAGTTGCTCCTCCCTATAAAACAACAGGTACACCGACATTCATGTGTCCTTGCCACCGTCCAAACCAATCGTCAAGTCTTCCCGTAGTTACAAGAAGGGTTGCTTCATATTTATGGTTGTCTAGGATATATACAGAGTCTGACTCCAACTCTAATATAGCCCATAATATAATTCAAGTCATAGTGTAAGCAAACTATACTCATATATATTCATTACATATCTAACATTACTATTAGTAACTTTTATCTCCTATCTCCATTTCTCCGGCCTTCACTCTAGAGCCGTCTAGCATTAGAGTCATTTCTAAGCCACCAAAACCCAAATCCCTAACTCTATTACTCATTGTCCCATCGCCGCTAGCCTCAATCGCGGTCAATGGTGCATCAGTGAGGTTGCTGCCGTACTACTCCAAACCCTCTATCGCCGCCGCCACTAGCACCCCCTCCCTCTCATAATCCGAACGGGGGAAAGAAGATGATGTTGGCTTTGATCCAAACGCGTGTCGACATGTGCGCGTGGGCGTTGGCTGGCATCGCTACACGCACATGCTGAATAATGGTTTGGGGTGTCAGGGTAGCGCAGCAAAATAACATCATAAGCTCGTAGCGTAAGCGTGATAGAGAGACACACACACCACAAGACAACTTATATATCCACATCACTACGAACTAGATAGAGCCACTGCGACGAATGTTATTCTTAGGTCGGTTAATGCAAGCATCCAACAAAAAACTAATAGGATAGATTGAATTATAAGATGATGGAATGGCAAAATAAATAGCATGATGTGTGTGCCTTGTATTTTTTATATATTGAAAACGATAATTATGCTTAGTAGAGGATAACGTTGAGAGGTTTTTGTACCTAGTGGGGGTGATTTGGGTATTTTTAGCATTTAGATTGGAATGACATTGATAGTCCGCACACAAACACAAGTGTGTTTGATAGACATTCAAATCCTTGTAGAAACATTTTGGATCCAGATTCTCTAAAGAAACGCCATATTTTGTAACACCCTCGGTGTTACACCCTAAATCATTTACTAAAACATGTCATGAACATCATGTTTATGTGTTAATGCATGTGATAGAATGTGTAGATAAATTTCTTATAACTTAAAATGATCAATAAAAATGCTAAACGAAAATTGATTCAATAGCTCATATATATCAAGTAGGGTTTAAAACTAATTTTTATTGAACAAAAATACTATAGAACATGTGTGTGATACTTAAATAAAGTTTGAAGTATAAACTTTGTAGATGACAGTGAAATACTTGCTGTCGAAAAATGATATTACTAACTAATATTTCTACTAGCTAGAAATGGCAAATTGAAATCAAGTTCAGCTCAAAACTTAGAAAAATTTCAAGTTTGTTAACAGCTAGACATTGTTATGTTTAGTAAATTATTTTAAGAGAATGGGTTAAGGGGTGGTGTAGTATTATAGCTCGATTTGATAGTCTCATATGCCATCTTGAGTATGGTGAAGATGGTTAAGGTCCAGAAGCAATCATTTAGTTTTTATAGGCGTTTTAAAATTCGTGCACGACACGATTTCGGGTTGGTTGGCCGCGTGGGCGCGGTCACCACGCTCGAGCGTCCAACGTCGCCACGCTGACGGTCCCGCGCGCACGCGTGCTGCCACGCGTGGCTGGCCACGGTTGCTCTGGCCTGGCTGTGGCCTGGCCGCCGTTGGCTCCTGGCGTGCGGAGCCGCTGCTGCTTGCGCAGTTGGGCGGTGTAGCCGCCGGCCCCGCCGCGCTGCCGCACTACGACTCGCCCCGCGCCACGCCGCAGCCGCTACCGGTGCCGTAGCCTCACCATCATGTTCGTGCCTCACTCTGCATCTCTACGCCGCTGCCAGCCCAGTGCGTTGCCGCATCTGCCGCGCACGTGGTCGGGCTTGCCGTCGCCTTGTCATTAATGGCACTACGGCGCACGGGCCACGCCGGTCACGAACGCGCGCGCCTGTCTGCTAGTGCCTGTGCATGGGCCTCCACAATCACGTCGACTGTATTCCGCCAAGGCGAGGACGAGCTAAGCCCACCTGTCGCGCCCCGTCCCTCTCTTTTTCTCTTTCTCCCTCTGCTGCCGCCGTCAAGCCGCGCCATCAAATTACCCTACGAACGATCACCTGCATTCAATTCATCGCATCCACGGCTTCACCATCACGTCCTCTCGCTGCCTGACCCCACCTAGCCTTGATGCGCGCACGGCCAAGCTCTAATTTTGGAGTTTCTCCTGCCGTCGTGTCGATAAGGCCGCATCCGACTGTGGATGTGGGCAACCCTCTTACCATCCCTCCCAAACCAATTCACCTACACCACTAGCATAGCCATGACTCCCTCTTCACCTTGCGTGTCTTAGTCGAACCACTACCGCCTCCCGGTCATTGCTGACACGACTATGCCGCCGTGGTGCGCCGTCGCATGGCTGGGCCGCACGTGGCCAGCCCTCCTCCGTCATACTCTTCTCCAACCGTCACCTCGGCTAGGTCCACGATAGCCTCCTCATTCTCGCGCGTTAACCGATTAGGTCTGTAGGTGCCCTAGCTCACCTGAACAGTGGCACCGCCGTCGCGGATGGCCGCACGCCACTGTAGCCTTCTCTAGCCAGTCGTGTCATCCCGCACCACCGCTTAGCGTAGCCACCAAGATCGGAGATGGTGATCGACCCGTTAGGTGGGCTAACGCAGGTCCCAGGTGTCTGGCATAGGCGCTCAGTGCCGCCGCTCGCCGCTCTGCCGTGCACTGAGTTGTCGGGGGTGCGCGCGGGGGAATTCTAGAAAAGCCAGGGGGTTAAGTGAGAAGTTCTGAGAGGGGAGAATAGTGTTAGTACTTAATTGTAAATTGGGAGGAGTTCGAGGTCTCTTTTGTAAAGTTGTCGACGCGCGCGGGATTCCCCGGCGCGGGCCGTCCTCGTGTGGGCCACACCGCGGGCCGCCGCGCGCTGTGTCGCGTGGGCCACGCGGGAGAATTCGTTTTTCTTTTTCATAAGGAATTAGAAATAGTTTT